TGGGCTAAATTGGCCTTAAATAAAAATTAAATAATGATCTAATAATTTTCTAACACGTGGAGTCATTGAAGTTATTATTGAGAATAAGAATAATTAATTTTCAAATTCAAGCTTTCAATTTTCCACCTCCTTTCGAATAGTAATAATATTCAATTTTTTTCTTTCAATATTAAAACATAGAAATTAATATTAGAAGTCTACTCAGTATTAGAATTTTACTGACTTTCATTAAAAGTACCCTCAGAATATATTTCACCGAATAAAATATTATTTGCCTCTACATTTCATAATATATGCACACGAACCAAATGATCCAGATGTGATAAAAATTCGAAGTGTTAAATTTGCACAAGAGTTAAAAGAATATTAAGTACATACACGGGCAGTATTAAGCACAAAAGTGTTTCACTCGTAAAGGATTAAAATGATCCGAATGATCGTCACAGTAATTACTTGAAATTTCCCCGTTTCTCGTCAAATTTCTCCGGTCGGTATGCTTGATCTCATCATCTCATGGAAAACGATTGAAATTCAACGGCTCGAAATTACGCTTTCAATGTGGTAGCGTGTTTCTCGCGCGAACAGCCGAAGCAACGCGGTCTATTTTGAAATGCAAAGGTTTTTTTTTCCTTCCTAAAACGCGGCAAGTAAATGGGATAGTTTGCACTCGAAATATGCTGGTAGAACATTCGGTCGCGAGCGAACTAAACCTGGATGGAAACATGTCGGGGATCAAAGGGACGAATTGCATTGGAAATGCGAGCGATTTCTTTGTGCGATTTCAACTTTAGGGCATTATGCGCGCTTTTCAGCCGAGTAACTTCAACTGAAAAGCGTTTCTTCGACTTTTCGGCTATCGTTATCGCTCGCTTTGCACGCTTTATCGCTGCCTGAATGTTTGTTAACAGTTATCTTCCCTCGATTCTTCATCCGGCTACTTTGTTTCGTATTTCTGAATTGCTATCGAGGCAGAAAATTGTAAACTTGCTATAAATGCCGGCTTTGATGATAAATAAGTCTGTGGTTCAATTCGTAGTAAAACTTTTGCAATATGAAATGAAATAATAAGAAGAGTCCTAAATTATCCAAATGAAAATTGAGACAATATTCTGAGAGTAAATGAATAAATAAATGAATAATATATTGATTTATGTTTTTGGTAATTTACTCGGTCCATTTGTTACAATTAACGATATTTGATCATTTAAATTGATATGAGCAATAATGAAAAACACCATCCTTGTTTACAACGTGGGTCTGTGCGATATTACTGGTATATTATGTTTATTAAAGATTTTAAAAATATTTGTAATTACCAGTTATGAAAGTTTCATTCATGAAATGACATTTCAATTTGTTTGAATTTTGGTGTGATGGATTTATGATTTATTCAACGTCCTTTTGAAACAGCTTCAACTATTTGAAAAATTATTATTTGAATTATAGAATTGAATGTAAATATGTTTTGGTATTTTCGGTGCAAATGTTTCATTTTCGCTGCTTTTTATTTTTCATACCAGATTCTTGTTCGAAATGGTCATTTATACCTGCATCAGGTATTTATACCTGAAGCAAAGTGAATATTCCCAAAATGACACTGATGATTCATAAAGCTTTGAATGATGCATGGAAATTCTGAGTACAAGACACTAATTAGGGTCCCATTTGTAATAACATCATGAATCATCTGTACTTAAGAAAGCATTTAAAGAGACACCAAATAATTAAAGAATATTTAGTCAACGATTTAAGAAAGAAATTTGAAATAAATATTTTATAAATTTTAATCGGAAATTTACAGATACTGAAGACACCGCTTAAATAATTAATTAAATTTTCATTTTGAATGATCCTAATCTTTGAAGACGATAGTGTCTATAAAGACGATAATTCTTGATCATTGTATGATTGGAATTTTTGTTAATCTATCATGTGACTGAGCGATTAATATAATGACTCAACATGATTGAATGATTCGAAGTATTTAGCCTATTTTCCAAATTATTTGAAACACTAATGAAATAACTCTTGAAAGTATCATACCTCCAATCTTTAATTTTAATAAATGCATATGTAAAGAAGTAATTAATTTTATCTCAAATTCCGCATCAGATCTCTTAATTAAAAAATTCTTCATATTAACTAAAATATCCATAAAAAAATTAATTATACAGGAGTTAAAACAAGCGTCATAGAACCCTTTATAAATTGCATTCTCAGCCTCTAAAGCTATCTAAAGAAACACCCAAAGAGTGTAGTATATTTATTTCAGAATTTTCTTTAACATAATTAAACATTCTCAATATTTCTTCAATTATCCATAAATCGTTGCAAATTGTTCGCAAATATGATCAGAAATGCGAAATAATTTGAACGATTCCTGCAACAGGACTTCCGCCAAAGAGGAAGTCTGCTTCCGCAAATGGTGGACAGATGGCGCTAAGGGAGGCTAATTCATACATAGATGCAGTCTACATTCGTATACACGTGATAGTTTCACGATACGTCGTTACGATAGGCTTCGAGTCACGGTCGTTCGAAGTGCACGTGAGCTTCAAATGAACGGGATCTCGTTTCATTCAGAAACTACGAAGCCGCGGTTCTGCTAGCCGCGACTCGAATCTGCACATATTTCACCAGCTACAGTGCTTCAATCGACACGTGTTCGGCATTGACGTACCAAAATGACGCTGCAAGCGATTAAATGGGAAAACGGCAGGCTGGAGATCCTCGATCAGATACTGTTGCCGGCAATGTCCCGATACATTCCTGTCAAAGGTGTGGAGGACGGCTGGAAAGTGATCAATAATATGCAGGTACGTCTCTGAACGGTGAATAAGAATTAAATCTCTCTCAGTTCATTCTAATCACCTCAAACTATGTGAATTGTTCAACAATAAGTCAAACGTTAAATCACTTGAATGGTAATGAAAGAACTCCATGACACTTTGGAGCAACTCACTTGAATAGAATTAATTTATTTGAATTGCTTGTTGACTACAGAAGAATTGTTCATTTGCATGAAGCAAGTTTTATTGGTAATTTGAAATTAATACAGGTTCGAGGAGCACCGGCTATAGCCATTGTAGGTTGTTTAAGTTTGGCAGCAGAAATCAAGAATGAAGACTACACAGACAAAAAGAGTCTCCGTAGAGACATAGAGGGTAAATTGAATTATTTAGTGTCTGCTCGGCCAACAGCGGTTAATATGAAAATTGCAGCTGAGGAATTAATTCAGTTGGCTAATAAACTTAGCAAGGATGAGACTATTAATGTCACAGAAATGAAACAGAGGTATGTGAACCTGATGCCGCAAATCAATTTACAGCATTGATGCTATTAATGATATTATTTACAGGTTTCTGAAGGCCATTGAAAGTATGCTTGATAAGGATATTGCTGATAATAAAGCAATTGGAGATTATGGGGCCCAAGAAATTTTGAAGAATGTGTCTGGAGATAATTTTGTCAGGATTCTAACGCATTGTAACACCGGCAGTCTTGCAACAGCTGGTTATGGCACGGCTTTAGGTGTCATTAGATCCCTCCACAAAAAGAATAGTCTTGGTAACGTTTGCATGATCATTATCATTAAAAATTTCATATAATTTCATAAAGTTATACAGTACTATTTACCGTTACAGAACACGCATATTGCTCAGAAACAAGGCCATACAATCAAGGAGCAAGACTGACTGCTTATGAATTAGTTTATGAAAAAATTCCTGCCACTCTTATTTGCGACGACATGGTGGCAGCACTAATGAAAACGAGGAACATTTCCGCCGTGGTAGTTGGAGCAGATAGAGTTGCAGCGAACGGTGACACGGCGAATAAAATTGGAACTTATCAAGTAAGATACGCAATTATTACGATCTCTGAAGTGTTATTTATGATGCTAATACTTTTATTATCTTTAGATTGCTATTGTCGCTAAATATCATAATGTACCCTTCTATGTGGCGGCTCCACGAACCTCAATAGACTTTAGTATCCCTAGTGGTGACCATATTGTAATCGAAGAAAGGCCAGAAAGGGAACTAACCCATATAAATGACCAACGAGTTGCCGCGCCTGGAATACAGTGCTGGAATCCAGCTTTCGACGTAACCCCAGCTAGTCTAATTAAAGGCATCATTACGGAAGTTGGAGTGTTCAGACCCAAAGATTTAATGCAGTTAAAGAACTGTGAGGACTCATAAGAATGATCGATTGATACAAGCAAAGAGATAAGCTTACCGATGCATTTATACAAACGGATTAATTGGTGATTCCAATGTTACGAAAAATTGTTGGCAGGTCTTGTTTATTTAACAATTTTCGCGTTACAATAAAATTGTTGGCAGGTTACGCTTATTTGGAACGTTAAGCCTGACGAACGCAGCAGAATTCTACCATGGATATACGTGTTTGCGTTTAAAATTGCCTTATTAACCTCGCTGTGATTTTTACAAATATATTTATAGTGACGAATACCTTAATTAGATAGTTGTATTGATATTACACGAAAAAGATCGCTGATCGTGATTACAAAATACAAGATTTTTTTAATCATGCATTTATACGATTATAGTTAACCCGCCTACCATCAGATGGCGTGCGGATTCAGAAATTTGAAAGTTGCCGCGCGCGATCAAATTATGAATTTAATTTCATCCCAATATAAAATATATATCGTGAATATATTTAAAGAAACACACGAAGTGCGATAATAAAACGTGTACGAAGAACTGATCGATTCGACTGAAAGGGAAATTTTGTAAATTAGCGCGTCGCATTATACTCAACTTACTTGTAATTACAATTTATTTAATAATATTTAGTAACAAATTTATGCAATTTTCAAATACAAACGTATTTCTGGCAAATATAATAACGTGTACGCTATTAAATTAACCGATAAATATCGCCGAAGCCATGATGTATATCCCTGTAATCAATAACACAAGTCAGTTGTGCGACTTCCGGCCGTGTTTACACACGATCAGTCGCGAACGTGATCTCGAGAGGAAACGTTCGCGGAGCGTAGTCGTAGTTGTCGAACGGTTTCGAATGTTTATATTGTGACGGGGACGGACGGATTCGACAGTGGGCTAATCGCGACGCGAGCAGTTCCTTCGGGATAACTTGTGATCTATTTTGGCCGTTGAAAGGCGTGCGGGAACACGTTCGAGGCGGGTTTCTCGAACCGCAGTGCTTTAGTCCGGCTAGTCTCTCCGCTTCGTGCAGAACTTCGCCGATCCCGGAATAGTTTTCGACGGTTGCTCGGTTGAAGTTTTTCGCGTGGCCGTCGTACAGGCCAATCCGCAGTCGTGTTCACCGTCCCTCGACGTACATAACCAAAAAACCGTCGCGTGTGAACCGGACGTCCGTGTTGATCGATTTCCATCGAACGATTCGCGCGATCGTTCACCCTGGAGGCTGATACGGAGAACACGAGGATGGATGCCACGGACGTCCTCGCTCCTGACGCTACGTCAGGAAACGACGACGGGGCTGTCTTTAGTCACAACAACAACAACAACGAGGATGAGGATGCAGCCACCGTGGAGGAGACGTACGAAGTCACCACCACGAAGCGTAAGACCATCCGGACCAGCTACAAAATCCAAGAAGTAAGTGACGACATATATAAGTGACACGTGCGAATTACGGTAACTAGGGTTCGTCGCTGGCGCCCTGGCGTCGTCGGCGTCATCGTCGTCGAGTTGCTTTAAATCTCGAAACCGGCTAGTCGAGGAATTAGTTTACGCTCGGTGAACGTAGGCGAGTTTTCGAACGCGCGTCAAAAAATGATGATGAGTCGAGATTTAAAGCGTTGTTCGAGGAGTACCGCCGATATATCGGCGATTCGTGCAACGCCAAAAATAAACCCACAGTCTGTTCTGTTCTGACGGTGGCTCGAAAATCTCGGTTCATTCTGATATTCGTCAAGGATAAACGGACTTATTTCGATCCACCGGTTTCGGAGGGATTTACCAACTTTATTTGGCGCGTAACCGTACTCGGTCTCGATGAAAATCGGGCGTGATGCCCGCGCCACCACCAACAATGAATAAATTCGCGCAAACAGGATTCCAAACTTTCCTTGGCGTCTGATCACTGTCCTTTCCTTTTGGCTACTTTTAATTAGGATTTTATATAGATGCCATTTCTAGTCCTTATATTTTATTATTTTTTCATATATTGGACTGATAAAGAGTACACTCTCCGGTACTACTATGTAAATATAAACAAAGACACTTATAGTGTAAGGTTCATTGTTCAAGTCTCTTTTAAGCAGTGATTTTCACATTATCTGAGATGCTTTGAACTTTATATTAAATGGAAATATTTTGAAATTTATAATGTAAAAATAGCTTATAATTAACATTATTTTATTTAGAAGAATGTCTGCTAGTGTTATTTAATTTGCAAGTTCTTCCTTTCATTTAAATTATTTGAATTTTTAAGATTCATATGGTTGATTAAATAGCTTTCATGACAGTTTACAGCAAGCCATTACAGGGTGGAATTTAAAACAGAATTAATTAGAGTCTGACACCTGATTCAGCCTGACCCAGTTTTAATTTGAATTTAAAATTTAATTTCACCTACTTTAGGAGGAACTTAAACCTTTCATTCAGGTCTGATTTAAATTAAACTGGGTAGAGGTGAATTTTTTGTCCTTTCTGATTTCAATTTCAAAATTTTTTCAATTAGAAGAAGTATTAAGTAAGGGGGCATAAAGGAAGGATAAATTTCCCATTTTTGTTGTATAAATAAAAATTAGTGTCTAATATTGTGCATAAATTTCAAGCTGCAGCAAAAGCTTTTAAATTCACTTTCTCACAGCTAAATATGTTTTGTAATATATCAATTAAATTTATGCAGTGAGAGGGGGGTTATAGCATGTGTTATTCATCTTCAAATTTAATTAATTAGAATTAATAAACTAAGGAAGTGAATGCAGGGTCTGTTGACATTTCCCTGCCCCTTCTTTTTCTGAGGACTCTTCTTGGTCCAGTTCACATCTTAGGGGGTGAGGTAGCCTTGTAAGGGTTAAATCGACGCGACACGGTGCAACATGGAATAAGAAAGATCAGTCGGGCGGCGTTAATGCAAAATGAGGGACAACAGGCGCGATTTACTCAGATTCTACGTCATTGTCGGTTAGACGCTTTTAGATCTGGCAACGAACTCGCTTCGAACAGAGAAACGAAGGGGAACGTGAATACGATGGCCGATGAATGCTCGACAAACGTCGATTATACGAAAAATAAAAAAAAGATGAATATTTCTTAACTCTCAGAGATCCTTTACATCAAAATTCAACTATCTTCTATTTCTGAGTATTGTGTGACTTTTGATTTTTTATTCTGTCTATTATAAGTGACAAATTATGACAAAATAAGCGGTTCATCAGCATGTTGACGGTAACGTAAACATGATGAATAAAGGTATAACGTGGGTGGTATTTGAATGAAATTTTACTTAGATACTATATACGTGAATGTATTAGAAGTAGGAAGAACGCTGATTTTCGTTTACTCACGTGGTTGGTTAAATTCAGTGATGATTATGACATTTTATATTGTAAGAATTTTTAATTAAATTTTTATATATAGGCTTTTATTTCGAGTAATTTTTCATAAATTATTTTCTATCAGGATATGAATTTTATTCATTCAATAAAATTCCAATCAAAAGAAATGTTAATTTTTGAAGATATTGCATATTGGAGTGCATATTGGATGCACATTCAGAATTGCATCATAAGACATTTCATCAATAGGTTATTAATAATCATTTCGTGGTATGAAATAATTACTATGAAAATAGTAGAATTCTATGCACTTTCTAAAATTAGTGGTATTCTAAATGGAACATCTATTAAAGGACCAAACGATCTATTTGTGATCTCTTTGATTGTAATTAATTAAATATCTACAGCTTGAACCCCACACTGCTTTGATTCAAAATATTCTATCTATTAAATCAGACTCAATATCATTTCAAGGGTTGTACTTACAAAATTACATCCCCTAAGTATAATTCCACCCCCAAATTGTATACTTCCATCATTTTATCATCCCCCTCCTCAAAAGAAAATTTATAAGACATCATTGTCACTAATGAAATCTCTTGGCCAACCCCACTAAATAAATAAATAGTGGTCAGTACAAATTAGTCCAAATAGAATAAAATGCACCAATATTGATTTACCTATTTTTCTCAATGTCAATCATCAATTTCTCTTCAGATCATGTTATTGCCGGAAATGATTTTCCTAGTCAGATCAGAAATAACGCATGGATCCACGATTGTTTGGTGCAGTTTACCAGGAACCTTTGCCGGTTAGATAAATATTTATTTAATTAAGGTCGGTCGGTGGACGGCACCGGGGCCTACCGGAATCGCTCGACGATTTCAATAATAACTCGCGTTGGTAGATCGGTTGGTTGGCAAGAGGATAATTTCAGCCGCTTGTCGAGCGGACGTTCCATATAGACGTGTCGAAGATAGACATAGTTTTGGCCGTCCCGAGGCATTAATTCTGAAACACGTGCGCCATGGTTAGTAGACGGGTTACGAAGCCACGGATAATTCAACTAAATCATTCGTATCGTTATTATCATTGTCGTGTTGCGAGGGTAGGCAGACGTTGAATTATCACAGACATAAATTTCGAACCAATTGTAAATTGTTTTCTATGAATCTAGTAATTAACTGAGAAAGTATTCAGACCCTTTAAAGATAAGTTCATTAATTTTATTCTCACACTGGGGATCAGACATTTTGTTATCAATCATATACAGTAGACAATTATTTAATTAAGGTATTGATTTAAATTGAATTTTGATTAGAAATTGAAGAGACGTAGATTTGAGGTTTTTGTACTCTGCTGGTATTCTTTGTGTAATGGGTATTTTTAGGTGTTTTACGAGGAGGTTTAAACGTCAAGCAAAGAATATTTACAGCTATCGTAGAATATACATAGTAATCATTGAAACCTCAGAATATAACAAGGAATAGATTCACTTGTTGTAGAAAAAATAGTAACATTCTTGTTCAGGGGTGTAGAATATTTTGTCGTTGGAGAGAATTTTAGGTCCCCAGTAATTTTTAATTAATATCTTTTTTAATCTGGTGTAATTTATCAGTGGGTCATTAATTAATAGAGTGGCCCATTGGGTTGGGTCAATATACCCTTAATTTTCCAAATTCTAATTCTAATTTAGACAATTTTAGAAATTTCAAATTGCATTAACTTAAATATTTAGAATTCTAAAAATTTTACCAAATATTAAATGATTCTTCATCAAATTAATGCAATTATTTGCAAATCGTACCGCTGGAATTCTAAATCGCCTCGAATAATGACGATTCAGACAGCAACCAAAGGAGACAATTATAAAGAACAAACGTGAGACGTGAGGGGCACAATTTCCCGCTTCAATAGGTGTCTGAGAGCAAATGAGGACGGATAATCATCCTTTTATCACACTGATGAAATTGCTTAAATCGAGCAAACGCGAGAGAACGACGATTGCTTGGCGTGAGAGCAACAGGATACCTGACGTTTCTATTCTTCATTCGCGATTTAGAGACGACAAGTCGATCTCATTTCTTTGATAAAATCACCACTCGTGTCGTTCCATCTAGCTCCATGGGTTCGAACGCCTGTACTGATGTACTTTTAAAATAGCATCGAGGTCGAAACGAAGCTTCGACCAGCCTGCGTTTCATGAATTTCTATCGACGATCGTGCGATCATCGAAAGATAAATTTATTGGAAATTGATTGCAATTTTGTAATAGATTTTCTTATGGTTATGTGTTAGAATTTGGAGCATAATGATAGAAAAGGTTTAAGTTTTTGTTTATTCATAGAGTGTTGTTTCTTAATACAAATTATTAATGAAACTTCTATGTGGTCATTTTTATTATTTCTCAAGCTTTAATTTCATGTGTCACAAGGGGTATTTTACAATACTTTTTTATCATCAAATTATCCTAGAATTTTACCTTAATAAAAAAAATCCTAATGTACTCTTAATCAACCAATAATTCTACCAAATATTTCAATATATACCTTAAATATTAATTTCGAACATTCATATTAGCGTAGATATTGATTTTCTTTGAACATCCCATGCTGACTAAAGAACAGCTTGTCCCATGACACGGGTTGTCGGGGTGCAAAATACTCTACGATTCAGTTGATACGTTTTAGCTTCGCGTTTAGATGCAAATACTACGCGAGGTTGGTTATTAATTTCGTCTAAGGTAAAACACGGTGAATTTATGAGGTGACGCTAAGAGTTCCATGATATGTACCTAGACGACCGCAGACCGTATAATTTTTCCTCTGTCCTGTTCATTCGTCTTCTAAATCAACAGTATAGAAATATCACTGGACATCGTGTTCGTGTTGCATACAAAAATACATCACAATGCTCGTTTCCTTGCTTCATTTCCGACGAGACCCACCGTGATGGGATATACAAATGGGTACATGGAAATTAAGATTGCTGACAGTGTTAATTCCACTTGAATCACGTTTAAGACAGTAATGTACACGTGTTCAGGTGACACTATCATTTATTTGTGAGATAATTATTTTGTATTCGTTG